CCCCCCCCCCCTCTCTCACAAACACACCTGGTCTGGGACCAACTGATCCAGCAAGCTCCAGAGCAGTAGGTGGCGGAAGAAGGAAGAAAGCAAGCGGCAGCGGCGACAATAGTGCTGCTCCGGGAGGCAGCTCTGAGACATCTGCCCACCCTCCTGGTCGAAGCACCTCCGCCGCTGCTCACTTTTTTCCTTTTCCCGGGGGATGAAAGGAAGAAAGTGAGCGGCCACAGCGGCAGGAGGGCGGATGTCCTGGGGCTGCACATGCAGTGCTTTCTTCCTTCTCCCAGGGGATGAAAGAAGAAAGCGAGCAGCCGGAATAGGCTATAAATGCTTTGCCTGCAACTTTGGTTTGTTCAACAAACTATGCTTAAAATGAAATCTGACTATTATATAATTATCACAACAATTTCTTTCCAAATGTCTATTTTTAACGGCAGCCTTCCTCAATCAGGGCGTTCTTAAATTAGTTAGACTTGCACAGGCAAAATACCCAGTGATCTTGTTAAACCCTTCAGATTAGATCAGTTTAGGATACTAACATCATGCAGATCAGTACTACTTTTATTGAAAAGTTTCAATAACCAAAGCTTTCACTTTACCTTCCCTCCCTTTATCTTTGGGCATACTAGGATGGGACCTCTTAGACTTTTACTCACATCACATTGTTGGCCCAAGCACAGGCTTAACTATCCATTGCTTTGGCAGTAGCTGTCAGCATTCCAGAAAACCTCCACTCCAACAAATAACTCCGAGACAGATATCCTCTCCAAAGTTCTTTTTATTAGAGTGGCACATCTGGGAAATCCCAAATCTGAAAGTTCCGGGTTTCCTTTCAGTAAGTAAAAACTACAAATCCACCCCCTGCACCCCTCATTGCATCACATGCCCCGATCACCACCCATCCCAGCTTGAGATGCCCTCTCAACCAGGTGCAGAAATAACATGACCTTGACTTAGAAGAAGAATGCTATTATGTCTAACCACATACACTCCAAGAAATTCCCCCCCTCCCATTTTCCCAGGCTCAAGAATGCGGTAGTGTGGAAGCATCTGGTGCTAATATGGTT